CTGATAGGTTTCTAGTAGGGTCAAAAGAGAGCAGCAGATGACTCCACAGGGGGGTCTGGGCGGGTGCCGGACAGGGTGCCGCAGAAATCGTTTTAAGCCAACAGTCACACACTTCGTGCTCTTCGACCCCCCAGAACTCCATTCCCGGGACACATTCTGAATGCCCGGAACCAACTGTAGGCCACTTCGTGCTCTTCGACTTCCCAGAACTCCATTCCCGGGCCACATTTTGAATGCCCGGAGCCAACTGTAGGCCACTTCGTGCTCTTCGACTTCCCAGAACTCCATTCCCGGGCCACATTTTGGATGCCGGAGCCAACTGTAGGCCACTTCGTGCTCTTCGACTTCCCAGAACTCCATTCCTGGGCCACATTTTGGATGCCCGGAGCCAACTGTAGGCCACTTCGTGTTCTTCGACTTCCCAGAACTCCATTCCCGGGCCACATTTTGGATGCCCCGAGCCAACTGTAGGCCACTTCGTGATCTTCGAGTTCCCAGAATTCCATTCCTGGGCATGATTTTGAATGCCCGGAGCCAACTGTAGGCCACTTCGTGTTCTTCGAGTTCCCAGAACTCCATTCCCGGGCCACATTTTGAATGCTGAGGCAAGCTGATGCTGAGGCTGAGGCAGGCTGAGGCTGAGGCAGGCTGAGGCTGAGGCCGAGGCTGAAGGCAGACTGAGGCTGAGGCTGAAGCAGACTGAGGCTGAGGCTGAGGCAGGCTGAGGCTGAGGCTGCAGCAGGCTGATGCTGAGGCAGGCTGAGGCTGAGGCTGAGGCTGATGCAGGCTGAGGCTGAGGCAGGCTGAGGCTGAGGCCGAGGCTGAAGGCAGACTGAGGCTGAGGCTGAAGCAGGCTGAGGCTGAGGCTGAGGCAGGCTGAGGTTGAGGCAGGCTGAGGCTGAGGCTGAGGCAGGCTGAGGCTGAGGCTGTGACTGCGACTGCCGTTGCCGCTGCGACTGTCATCGCGAATGCGACTACGACTGCGAGAACAGCAGAATTCGACAACTGGATTTTTCATCTGAATCTTAAGGGGAATGCTTTCAGATATGCTTCTACACATCGCTGTTAGGTTGCTTTGCCGGGATAAACTAATGAAAGCTCTTGCTGATGTTCTAGTGTCTCAAAGCGGAGCAGCAGATGACCCACAGGCGCGCCAAGCGGGACCCGGACAGCTGCCGCGCGGCTGCCGCGAGCCGAGCTCGCTTGTGTGACATCCTCAGCACAATCGCTCTGGTGTTCCCAGAACTCCATTCCCGGCGTACATTTTGGATGCCAGAGCCAACTGTAGGCCACTTCGTGGTCTTCGAGTTCCCAGAACTCCATTCCTGGGCATGATTTTGAATGCCCGGAGCCATCTGTAGGCCACTTCGTGGTCTTCGAGTTCCCAGAACTCCATTCCCTGGGCCACATTTTGGATGCCCGGAGCCAACTGTAGGCCACTTCGTGGTCTTCGAGTTCCCAGAACTCCATTCCTGGGCATGATTTTGAATGCCCGGAGCCAACTGTAGGCCACTTCGTGTTCCATTAGTTCCCAGAACTCCATTCCTGGGCGTGATTTTGAATGCTGAGGCAGGCTGATGCTGCGGCAGAGGCAGGCTGAGGCTGAGGCAGGCTGAGGCTGAGGCCGAGGCTGAGGGCAGACTGAGGCTGAGGCTGAAGCAGACTGAGGCTGAGGCTGAGGCAGGCTGAGGCTGAGGCTGAAGCAGGCTGATGCTGAGGCAGGCTGAGGCTGAGGCTGATGCAGCTGGCTGAGGCAGGCTGAGGCTGAGGCCGAGGCTGAAGGCAGACTGAGGCTGAGGCTGAAGCAAGCTGAGGCTGAGGTTGAGGCTGAGGCAGGCTGAGGCTGAGGCTGTGACTGCGACTGCCGTTGCCGCTGCGACTGTCATCGCGAATGCGACTACGACTGCGAGAACAGCAGAATTCTACAACTGGATTTTCATCTGAATCTTAAGCGGAATGCTTTCAGATATTCTTCTACACATCGCTGTTAGGTTGCTTTGCCGGGATACTTTTTTTTTCCGCGGAACGCCTTTAAAACGGCCGCGGCGTCCGATGGGTCCTCGAAACTTGGCGGTTTTCTCAGGTTTCCGACCTCTCCTTCGACTAGACGTAAGAGTGACACTTCGCCAGAGTGCTTTCCGGTACAGATTCATCGGGGTCCTTCCGACCGCCGAGCGCGATGCGATAGCAGCTAATTGCGCGTCTGGGTTTGGCCCCTTCGCCCCCCCCCTTAAGCCGCGCACTGAAGGTCACTTTTTCCTAAGGTCATTTTTGCGTGTAGCTGATGTCTCATCCGACACCCTCACCCGGCGTTCGTCTTGATCCCCCCGCCGATTCCGCGCCATCTCTGCCACCCACCCCGTCACCGCTTCCGCGGCCCGTCGCCGCCGTCGCCGCCGTCGTCGTCGTCGCCGTTGTCGTCGTCGTCGTCGCCGCTGTCGACGTTGTCGTCGTCGTCGCCACTGTCGACGCCAACTCCGCGCCCCCATCGCCGATTTGACGCCCCCCCCCTTCACCAGCTTTTCGCACCCCCTAGTGGGCCTCACGCCCCCCGATGACCAGCACTTGGCATCGCTCGGACGTGTGTGTTTTTCTTGGCAAGGACCATTGAGGAGCATTTGAGGCCATCCGGCGAAGACTACACGCACGAAGGCGAAAAATGCACGGGGAATGGACGTCCGAGCAATGGCGAGTGCAGGCTCGCTTCTTGTCCATCTCTGTCAGCTACTGGCTGGCCCCGCTGGAAAAAAAACAGCGGGCAGGGGATAAAGGGGGGGTCTGCGGCACCGCAGTCATGCTTGCGATGAAACCTCACCTCGGCGCCCTCTCCCCCCTTTCTCGTGGGGCGGCGGGCGGCCAGACTCCCCACGCAGGCGCCAGCCTCAACGAGGTCCGCGAGAAGTCTGGCGCGCGCATCCAGCTCGCGCGCGAGGACGGCGCGCGAGGGAGGCCAGCGTGCAGGAGTCGGAGGCCTAGAGGTTGACACCAGCACCAGTGTCGGCGGCGTGCCTCCACCGAGGGGTGGTGATCCCGAATTCTAGACGCTTCGCGTAACCCAACCAGTTTTATCACTGCAGGTGTGTTGCCTGTTGTAGCCAATTAGCCTCGCCTGCTGTCCCAGACGACGCCTTCCGCTCCCTGTCCGCCGCCTCGGAGCCGCCGGCCCCCCCCAAAAAAACCCACCAGTCTGCAGCCTACCTGAGGCGACGCTTAGGCAGCTAGTTGTTTAGGTTACGCCGCTCTAGCTTGCTTCTGTTTTAATTAGTAGGCCCGCGCCTCGGACTTACGACTCGCCGCTTGCGCTCTCGCCTGCGGCTGCGACCAAAAAAGTTAACCCCACCAGTCCATCCAGAAACGATGCCCAGAGGAATTGCCTCGATCAGGGAAGTGGGCAGCATACACAGGAAGGGTCCCCCAGCGGCGGCCTCTTGGAGCGTCTTGGGTGCCTCGGAGAGCTTCTTGGGGCCTCTTGGGGGTCTCTTGTGAGCATCTTGGAGGCCTCTTGGGCGCCTGTTGGGGCCTCCTGGGCGCCTCTTGGGGCCCTCTTGAAGCGCTCTTGGGAGCCTTGGGAGCGCTCTTGGGGCCATCTTGGGGGACATCGATCAAACAAGAAGCGAGCATTAGTTTGCGTTGCCCCTCGGGAGCCCAAACAATCGCGTCTTGGGGCGCTCTTGGAGCGCTCTTAGGCGCTCTTGGGACCGTCCTGGAGCTCTCTGGAGCCTTTCTTGGAGCCCTCTGGGCCATCTTGGAGCCATCTTGAGGCCTCGGATGGCCATCGGAAGCGAAAAGGCGAGAACGCCAAACACATGACGTTTCTCGGGTTTTGGCCTCTTCGGGGCCTCCTGGAGGAGCTCTTTAGCCACTGGGAGCCGTCTTGGAGCGGTCTTAGGGCATCTTGGAGCATTGTGGGAGCCATTATGAGACACCTTGGGATATCTTGAGCCATCTTGGAGGTCATCTTGGGCTCTCCCAGGCGCCCTTGGAGTCATCTGAATCAGTGCCCCCCCAAGAGGCCAACATGTGGCTAAAACCTGAGTAAATTCAATGATTTGGCATGCTCGCCGAGGCCTCTTGGAGCATATTGGGTGCTTTTGGGGGGTCTCTTGGGGCCTCTGGGGGGTCTCTTGGGGGCCTGTTGGGGGCATCCTGCGGGCCTTTTGGGGTTTCTCGGCCACCTCTTGGGGCCCTCTTGGGGCATCCTTGGGAGCCTTGGGGGCCATCTTTGGGCCATCTTGGGTAAGATCGATCACAGGAGGGGGGGGCACTAATTAGGGTCTCCCCCTCAGGAGGCCAACATGGGGCCAAAACCATGATAAAACCACTGATTTTGGCTTCCTCGCCGAGGCCGCTTTGGACGCTCCGACACCTCGCGAAATCTCTTGTCCAGGTCCATGGGGAGGGGGGAGGGGGAGGGGTCAGGACGCCCTCCCCGCCCGCAAGCCGTCTCGCTCACTCCCACCCGCCCTCCCAACACATACGCAGCACCCGAGCTTGGCCCGAGCCTCAGCATACGCAGCAGTCGTCTTTGGATGGGCAGCTACTGGGGGCGAATCCGCCGCCGCCGCCCGCCGCCGCCGCCGCCCGCCGCCGCCGCCGCGCCGCCGCCGCCGCCGCGCTGCTGCCGCCGGCGCCGCCGCCCGCCGCCCGCGCGCCGCCGCGCCGCCCGCCTGCTGCCGAATCGCCGCCGCCGCCGCAGCCGCTTGCCGCCGAACCGCTGCCGCCACCGCTGCCGCCCCGCCGCCGCCGCCGCCGCCGCCGCCCCGCCGCCGCCGCCCCCGCCGCCGCCGCCGCCACCGCCGCCGCCCCCGCAGCCGCCGCCGCCGCTGCCCTCGCCGCAGCCGCCGCAGCCGCCGCAGCCGCCGCCAAATGTATTCTGTATTGTTTTTTGACAGGGATGGTGGGGGGAGGCCGCATCGGGTTCGCTGCGCATGCTCCGAATGTTACGGCAGAGTGTGTTTTGTAGTGTTTTTTGTTGTTCCTAGGGATTCTGGGGGGGGGCCCTCATGGACTCGGGTTGGCTCCCAGTCGCCTGGGGGAGGGGGTGTATATTAATAGGGAGCAGTGGTAAACCCATCCCCGAAGGGGAAGAAGGAGGGGTGGAAGAGGAAACTCCCTAAACGACCGACGCCCAGAAGGCTAGTGGGATTCAGTCATGGTGGTAATGATCGGGCTTCCCAGGTAGCCGAAAGACTACCACCAACATCAAAGTCTAGGATCATCCTCCCCTGCGAAAGACCCCTGTGCTGGTGTTGGTTTTAGTGCCCATGTCCAGGCCTCCAAAGGAGGGGCCCTCGAGGCAGGTTCTCTTCGCCGCTTGCGGGACCCCACGGCCCTCCCCTTGGCCCGAGGCTGGCAGCAGAGGCGGCTCGGCATGGAAAAGCGTTGGCCGCTGGCCCTGGGGGTGAGGATCCCTGGGCTCCAGGGCCTGTTTGCACCAGGGCCTTCATTTCTCGTGACAGTCGCTGCGAGCACGTTTGTCCGGGGGATCCTTCGCCTCTCCGTGGGGGAACAGACAGTGACAGAAGCATTAAAACTCGCAGGTCCGCGCGGCTTTCTTGGATCGGCGCTGGGGCCCCCTGGCGGCGCCTCCGGAGCCGCCCCTGGCGCGCTCCGCGCGCCAGGGAGGGGGGTCCAGCGCCGATCCGAGAAGGCCGCGCGGACCTTCGAATTGTTATGCTTGTGTCACTGTTTGGTCCCCAACTTCTGGACCTTCGGTGGGGCCCCCCGTCGCTTCGACCGACCTCTACGAAGGCCATCTTGAAGGAACTAGTAAGCGGGGTAAGTGGCTCTTACATCCCCTGCCTTTCATCCCATGTCTCATCGTCCCCCCTCCCTCCATTCCCTCCTGCTCCCCGTCGTCGATCACCGCTTGCCAGAGCCCCTGAGACAGCATACTCGATGGGCCCGCCGCGAAGTCTGGCTCAGAACGCGCTCCAGAACAGGTCCAGCGTCGCTCGCGCGAGAGGACCGCGCGCGAGCGAGATCAGCGGCGCGGCCTTCCTGTGAAGGCAGGGGGAGGGCTTCTTAGAAGGGGCCCGCCAGCCTGGGGACCACGCGCCCCACATCTTCTGAGGGGCGGGGAAGGACCTTCGTAGAATGGGGGGGCCCAGAAGCTGCACAAACGTCAACCTCCGGAGGTCCGTACAGACTCCTTGGAGCGGCGCTGGACGCCCCTTGTCGGCGCCTCCCGCGCCGCCCCCAGGCGCGCTTTTGCGCGCCAGCGCCAGCCCAGGAAGTGCCTCGTGCATGCGTTCTGTTCCTCTGCAGAAGGCCAGTCCGCTCGCTCTACACCCAAAGCGCTTCCTTTTTCCGGCGCGCGCCACGGATAGGTGCGCGAGGGGGAAAGGGTGCGCCATCGGCGACGATGGTTGGACTTAGCCGTGACGACTTGGACTCGCAGGAGCGCAACGCGCGAGGGGCGAAAGGGTACGGCCACCATGATTGGACTTAGCGGTAACGACTTGCACTCGCAGCAGCGTAACACGCGCGAGGGTGGCAAGGGTACGCCATCGGCCACCATGACTGGACTTAGCCGTAACGACTTGCACTCGCAGCAGCGCAACACGCGCGAGGGGGGCAAGGGTACGCCATGGGAGATGATGATTGGACTTTGAGAGGTGACGACTCGGAGTCGCAGCAGCGCAACACGCCCGGTCGGCAACCAGGTGATTCGCGTGACGCTGCGTGTCGTTACTGTCTTGGAGCGGGCAGAATGAAAACCCTTATCAGACATTCTGTGCGATAAACAAACAAATGTGTACGAAAAGATTGCAGCGCGGCCAGGCAATGATTTAGGTTGACAACTCGTTTATGTTGTGGACGGACCGCCGAAAAAATGGGTTCGCCACTGGCGCAGAGGCCGACCAAGACAACAGTGGACAGAAGAAGTATTTGCAATGTTGTAATTTTACTTGTGATATTGTACATGCTCGACCCCATCACGTCGTCATCATCACAGCGCGTTTGGCGCACTGCCCTGCTCTGACTGCTTCAGGGACGCATTTGGCGCACCACCCTAACTTTTTCAGTGTTTTCTTGCCTACGCGTCCACAGGATGCACGGCCACTGACTGACTGACTGACTGACTGCGTGTCGGCGTGCAGAGGGTGTACGGGCACGGATGTCTTTCGCTGGGGTTGGCTTTCGCCGGGCTTCGTTTCGCCGGGCTTCGTTTCGCCCGGCTTCATTTCGCCGGGGTTGGCTTTCGCCGTGGTTGGCTTTCGCTGGGGTTGGCTTTCGCAGGGGGTTGGCTTTCGCAGGGGGTTGGCTTTCGCCGGGTTGGCTTTCGCCGGGTTGGCTTTTGCCGGGGTTGGTTTTCGCCGGGGTTGGTTTTCGCCGGGGTTGGCTTTCGCCGGGGTTGGCTTTCGCCGGGGTTGGCTTTCGCCGGGGCCGGGCGGGGATCAGGCGGGGCAGGCTCAGGGGCAGGCGATGAATGGGTAATGGGGTATCGATGTCTCCTGTCCCCTTTTAGCAATTTCTTTTGTCGGGCCGCTTCCAGAAGCGGCTGGCGGTCGTGGTGGCGGTCGCAGCTGGTGGGGGCGTTGGCCCGAGACTTCCGACGCCCGGGAAAAACAAAACGGTAAGTTTTTTGGGCCGGGGTCGGCCTCAGGGAGGCCATGACGTCCTTACCTAGGACGCGCCAGGATAAAAGTATGTCCTTGGGAACGACTGCGGACCCCAGGGAGCCGCTGGCGTAAACAACTCCGGGGGTCGGAGGTCAGGGCCGGAAGTCGCCGTGCAGGAGTATGTCAGGGGGCGGGGGCGCGGCGAGGAAGGAAGAGGCTCGAGACCCTTGTTGCAGGGCGGGCAGCGGGCAGCGCACGGACGGGCAGTGGGCAGCGCCGAGCACAGAAACCCGCCAGGCGGACCCTAAAGGGAGGGTCGGGTCGGGCGGGCGGACCCTAACGGGCGGGACGGGTCGGGCGCGGTCGGGCGG